TCATAAACAAATGCAGGAAAAGCAAAAATATTAAACACATCATTTAACACCATTGCTCAATGAAAATTATAATCAGTGAGTAGTCTTATAAGAAAGGATTCAAACTTAAATGGAGGCTAAATTTAATTCCAAAGAGTTGGTGATTCAAAGAGCAAATCAATGAAATAATAGATAATTTCAGCATAGAAAATGAGAACAATGAAACAACCTATGAAATTTTTTTATATGGAGCAATAGCTGTCATTAAAGGAAATTTTATATCTTTAACCACTTTTATCAACAAGAGTGAAAGGACAAATCAGTAAGTTAGATATGCAACTAAAACAAAAGCTAGAAAAGCAAAAAATCAAATATGTCAACTAAATGCCAAAATACAAATTCTAAAAATCAAAGAAGATATTAATAAAAAATTGAAAGCAAATTTAAAAAAGAAAAATTGATAAACAAAATAAAGAACTTGCATTTAAAAAGAGTAATAAAATAAATTGTTAGTTAATCTGATTTTAGAGCAGCTATGTAGCACAGTGTATAGAGCCTGGAGTCAGAAAGATCTGAATTTAAATCTGGACTCAGACACTTATTGACTGAATGACACTGGGCAAGTAATTGATCCTGTTTGCCTCAGATTCTTCATCTGTAAAATGAGCTGGAGGAAGAAATGGAAAACCACAGCAATATCTTGTCAAGAAAAGCCTTAATGGAATCATGAAGAGTTGGACACAACTGAAAATGACCGAAAAATCTGTTTTAAAGGAGAAAAATTTCCAGTATCAAAATGGTATTTTGAGATAAAAAGACAAGAAATGCAGAAAATTATTTTTAAAACGATTTTGTCAGAATTTATAACAGCAAAACCAATAACAAACAAAATGATTATTTATGGAATTATAACACATTCTGAATAAGATGACATGACAGAGAGAATTTAAATACTGAATCTCAACAAAATAAACCATAAATGAATTCCTAAAGAAAAAAATAGCCCAGGACACATCAAACTTGGGAAAAAAAATTTCTAATATTATGAAATTATGAGCTAAAATATTAAAAGAGTGAATACTATCAAATTTCTTCCATGTTAGAAATATGGTCTTGGAAGACAGAGCCAAGATGGTGAAGTAAAAGCAGTAACTTGCTTGAGATCTCCCCCAAACCCTTCCAAATACATGTAAAAAAACGACTCTAAACAAATTGTAGAGAAGCAGAACCCACAAAAAGACAGAGTGAAACAAATTTCCAGCCTATGACAACTTGGATGGTTGATGGGGAAGGTCCGTTACTGGGCTGGGAGAGGAGCACAGTTCAGCATGGGCGGTGCAGGCAAAGACAGGGCCCCAAAGAACCTGGAACAGGCCTCAGGGGACTGAATCATGGTTAGATGTGGCAGTCTCCAGACTTCTCAACCCACAAATGCCAAAGACAACTTAGAAGGTCAGTGGGAAAGGTCTACTGGACCTGGGTAAGAGAAGAGCATGGTTCAGCCCTGGCCTTAGTGCAGCCCCAGGACAGTAGCCACAGTGGCAGAGGCTGCTTCCAGAGTTCTTGGCCTACAGATGGTAGGGGATCAAGTAGCTGATCAGAGAGGGACTGCAGCAATCTCATTTCTGGCACTGGCACTTTGCTGGCAGAATTTTCTTGCTTTGCCTGTGCTTGGATCTGGGTCATAGTCCTGAGTGGTGGTCCTGGGGTGAGGAGGAGCACTGGTGTGGCAGAGCTTGTGGCCACAAAGGAGAGGAAATCCTCACAGTTCCAAGGCAGGAAAGAGTGCTTGTGGTCACTCATACACCAGGAAAGGAGTAAACATCTCTCCTTTGATCATACCACCTTGGAAGAACTGAAAATTTACAGATCCCTCTGAAATTCAGGTATCTCTGAAAACAGCTGCACAAAAGCCCTGAAGCTTGGGACTGTACACCTTCCACAATGGAAGCAGAGCCCTACCTTAACAAAGAGTTAAAAAGTCAAGCAACTGTCTGAGAACATAAGCAAACAGTGGGGGGGGGGGGAAACTCAGAATATAGAATCTTTAGTGACAAAGAAGATCAAAATATGTGACCAGAAGAAGACAACAAAGTCAAAACTCGTACATCCAAAGCCTCCAAGAAAAATAGGAATCAGTTTCAGATCATGGAAGAGCTCTAAAAGGATTTTGAAAAGCAAGTAAGAGAAGTAGAGGAAAAATTGGGAAGAGAAATGAGAGTGATGCAAGAAAATCCTGAAAAGTGAGTCAATAGCTTCCTAAAAGAAACCCAAAAAAATACTGAAGAAAATACCACCTTAAAAAATAGACTAACCCAAATGGCAAAACAGATCCAAAAGCCAATGAAGAGAAGAATTCCTGAAAAAGCTGAACTGGCCAAATGGAAAAGGAGATCCAAAAGCTCACTCAAAAAAATAATTCCTTAAAAATTAGAATGGAGCAAATGGAAGCTAATGACTCTATAAGAAATCAAGAAATATAAAACAAAACCAAAAGAATGAAAAAATAGAAGACTATGTGAAAAATCTCATTGGAAAAACAACTCACCTGGAAAATAGATCCAGGAGAGATAATTTAAAAATTATTGGACTACCTGAAAACCATGATCAAAAAAAGAGCCTAGATATCATCTTTCAAGAAACTACCAAGGAAAACTGTTCTGATATTCCAGAACCAGAAGGTAAAATAGAAATTGGAAGAATGCACTAGTCACCTCCTGAAAGAGATACCGAAATGAAAAGTCCTAAGAACATTATAGCCAAATTCCAGACCTCCCAGGTCAAGGAGAAAATATTGCAAGCAGCCAGAAAGAAACAATTCAAGTATGGTGGAGCCACAGTCAGAATAAGACAAGATTTAGCAGCTTCCACCTTAAAGAATCAGAGGGCTTAGGGGGCAGTTAGGTGGCACAGTGGATAGAGTACCAGCCCTAGAGTCAGGAGCACCTGAGTTCAAATCTGGCCTCAGACCCTTGAGGCTTACTAGCTGTATGACCATAGGAAAGTCACTTAACCCCATTACCTAGAAAAAAAAAAAAAGAATCAGAGGGCTCAAAATGTGATGTTCCAGATGGCAAAGGAGCTAGGATTACAACCAAGGTCACTTATCCAGCAAAACTGAGTATAATATTCCAGGGGGAAAAATGAAATACAGGACTTTCAAGCATACTTGTATGTAACTCATAAGAACTTTCTCATTATTAGGGTTGTTAGAGGGAGTATATACTGACAGAGGGCACAGATGTGAGTTGAATATGATAGGATATCTTTAAAAAATAAAATTAAGAAGTGAGAAAGAGAAATGCACTGGGAGAAAGGGAAAGAGAAACATAGAATGGGGTAAATTATCAAACATAAAAGAGGCAAGAAAGAGCTTTTACTGTGGAGAGTATGGAATGTTTGAACTTTACCCTCATCAGAATTGGCTCAAAGAGGGAAATACACACTCAATTGAGTATAGAAATTTATCTTACCCTACAGGAAAGTGGGAAGGGGAAAAGATAAGAGAAGAGAGGGGTGCTCATAGAAGGGAGAGTGGATTGGGGAAGGCTATAGTTGGAAACAAAACATTTTTGATAAGGGACAGGGTGAAAGGAGAGAGAATAGAATAAACTGGGAGGGAAATACAGTTAGCAATCATAACTGCAAAAAAAATTTTTGAAGCAAGTTTCTCTGAAAAAGGCCTCATTTCTCAAATGTATAGAGGAGCTGGTCAAATTTATAAAACTAAGAACTATTCCCCCATTAACAAATGATCAGAGAATATGAACAGTTTTCAGATGAAGTAATCAAAACCATCTATAGCTATGTGAAAAAAAATGCTCTAATTCACTATTGATTGTAGAAATTAAAATTAACACATTTAGAGGTACTATCTCATACCTATTAGATTGGTTAATAGGACAGAAAAGAAAAATTGCAAATGTTGGACAAGATACAGGAAAATTGAGATACTAATGTACTATAGGTGGAGTTGTGAACTGATTCAACCATTATGTAGAGCAATTTGGAACTATGCCCAAATATTTATGACAGCTCTTTTCTGATGGCCAAAAATTGGAAATTGAGGAAACATCTAGCAATTGGGAATGGTTGAACAATTTGTGGTATATGACTGTGATGGAATACTATTGTGATATAAGAAATGATGAGCTAGATGCTCTCAGAAAAACCTGTAAAGAATTACATGAACTGATGCAAAGTGAAATGAGTTAGTACCAGGAGAACATTTACATAGTAATAGCTATAATGTAAGATAATCAACTATGAATGATTTCACTGTACTCATCAATACAATGATCCAAGACAACTCAGAACGACTTAGGATGAAAAATGCTATCCTTTCCCAGAGAAAGAACAGACAGAAAGAGTCTGAACACAAATTGCAGAATTTTTTTTAACCTTATTTATCTTGGGGTTTTATTTTGGTCCATGTTCTTTTACAACATGACTAATATGGAAATATGTTTTGCATGACTACATATATATAAGCTATATCAAATTGCTTGCCTTCTCAATGAGGGGGGTAGAGATGGAGGGAGAGAATTTGAACTCAATTTTAAAAATATATCAAAAATTGTTTTTACATGTATTTGGGGAAAAATAAAATACTAAATTTTTAAAAAAAGAACAAAAAATCATTTTGTTTATAATTACAAATTATAATCTTAGCTAAATAAGATTGTATAGTTTTTAAAAAAAAAAAAAGACCTAAATCAAGTTTATTCTTAGATTCTGATACTCTGCCTTATAGAGTGATATAGGCACAATGAAAAAAGATTTAGAGAGTGGGTTCAATCTAAGAGGAGCCTTCTAACTCTAAAATTCTATGATTTGTGGTAGATTATTATCAGGCATTTCTGCCTTTTTGGAAGTGGAATTTGAACTTTGACAATTTGGGAGAGCAAAATGTGTCAACTAGGTGGGAAATAGTAACAAGATTTGTTGCATCCACCCACAGCAGCAAAAGACACTACTGTTAAAATGCTTGATTTTTCATAACTTTTATTCTCCTTTTCCAGTGCAGAACCATTGCCTGACAGAACAAGGGAAACAAAATCAAAAAGAAGGCCTACTCAGCGGACAGTGTTTACAGAATCTTTTCAACCCCTACATTAGAAGGAATAACTTGGATTAAGAAGTAGACATCATTTCGTAAAACATTCTATTTTGTGACCTGAACTCTGCAATTAGCTGTGTGGTAAATGGCTTCACTGCCTACTGGAATCAGGCTTATCACTTCATTCACAAGAGATCAATGGTAAGTTCTGAATGACTTTGGTCTATTTTAATAGTATACAAACTTTTCAAATGTCAAACTTTTTTAAAGTCAAATTTTTTTTTAAAACAGCATTTAAAAACAGGTGGTAGTAGTTTTAATAACGGTATCTGTTGATTGAGGAATTTGTTGCTGTTGTCTAGTTGTTTCAGTCATGTCTGGCTCTTTGTGACCCCTTTTGGGTTTTCTTAACAAAGATACTGGAGTGATTTGCCGTTTCCTTCTCCAGCTCATTTTACAGATGAGGAAACTGAGGCAAACAGAGTTCTGTGACTTTGCCAGGGTCACCCAGATAATAAGTGTCTGAGGCTGTATTTGAACTCAGGTCTTCTTCATTCCAGGCTTGGTGCTCTATCCACCCTGCCACCTAGCTTCCTTAATTGAAGAATACATAATGCCAAAAAAAAAAAAACTACTATAAATCCAGTAATGTTTGAAAATGAATTTGTTTTATTAATCATAATAACATCTACATGCATTTGAAAATGTAAAACATATTTGTATGAAAAATTATTTGGTCTATATCGTATGTTTATGCACTTGTGGATTCGCATGTGGATTTCTTCACATTATGCAATTTCTTTGAATTTCTCACCATTATTTATGATTCATAGGCTGGGAAGCACAGGTCAATTGCTATGCTTAGACTATAGGGCTCATCCTATAAGTGAACTTACTCATGAGTGTTTCCTCTCCATTTTCAATTATGCTGATTTCTTGTTTTACTTACGTAGCACTTCTTCTAGATGCTATATATTAACTTGCATTTAAACTTGGAGTTGTGGGTTGGGTCTCCCCAAAGATGACTCAGGTTCTAGAGAACACTATAGGTAGCTACTCATACTATTGTAACTCAAAACCCCCATTAGAGAACTTCCCCTTAACAGTCTTTCTGTAGATGGGAAGATCTTTATTAACATGGCAAAACAGAAATAGTACCTAAAAACCATTCCCTCAAAATATGGGATACATTATCCCATATACATATATACTCTTTGTGGGAAGACTAAGTGCAAAGTTAAAGTATAATAATAGTAAGGCACTCAGACTACTCACTCCTCTGGTATTATTGTGCCCACAAAACCTTTTTCTCCTGGGGAATCTTCATAGGACTTCCTCCCAGGCAGAGCATCTCTACTGAGTGGGACATTCAGTTAGGCTCCCAAGATCTGTTGTCTTCTTCTCAAGCCTTGATTGCTACTATCCTGATACAGCTTCCTTTAGCCCCAAATTCCCTGTTTCAGCTTCCTGGTCTAGGGGCATAAAAAGTCCCAGATGCCTCTAGTATGGGCCTCTCAGACTTGGTGATTACTTTAGGCCATGAGAGAGTCTCCATTACCTGATGACTTACTGACCAGACACTTCCAGATGGAGATTGCTGTGGGGGAGAGACTGTGTCTAGAGAAGCTAAATGCCACTATATTCTTTCTTAATATTTTCTCTGTGTTGTAGAAAATTCAACCTTCTTTATTAAATATTCAGTGACTTTGAGGGCCTCATTTCATCCCAACATTGAAACTAAACCAAGATGGTACTGGTTATATCCACACCTCCCACACCTAGCTCTCTTTTCTGTTGCCAGAGGTCCTATACCTTGAAGCTGCTTCCCCTCTTGAGTGTCTCATGACTACTTAAAATGTGTGTCCCTGCTCCCTCAATTGAGCCTTGAACTCTCAAACTGCTGGATAGAGTCCCCTTCTGGGAAAGTAGCTCTGATCCTAGCCTCCTTGACTGATGGGGGTTAATGGACAGAGAAATCCCCTGTAGGGATTTCCTCCAGGACAACTCATCTTTTATGATTTACTGAATAGAAGGCTGAGAAAGAAGAATGCAATGGGAGAAGAGGGGAAGGGGAAGGAAGAATAGGTAAAATTATCTCACAGAAAAGAGGCATGTGAGGCAAAGTTTGTACAATGGAAAGGGGAATGGGAGTAACAGTTGGGCAGTGCTTAAATCTTACTCTCATCTGTACTGGTTCAAAGAGGGGAAAATATAGATACATTCTGCGTAGAGAAATCTAGTTTACCTAACAAGGAAGTAGAAAGGAAAGGGGATTAGGGAAAGGAGAAGAGTTGATAAGAGATAGGGGAGATTAAAGGAGGCTGAGGTCAGAATCAAAACAAAGCAGGGTAAAAAAAAGGGGGGGGGGAGAAGAATAAACAGAAAAAAACAGGATGGAAGGAAATATATAGTTAATATTCATAAATGTGATTGTGAATGGTATGAACTCAGCTATAAAATGGAATTGAATAGCAGAATAAATTAGAAACCAAAAGCCAACCAAAAAGGAATTTTTTTTATATGAAATGTTTTTGGAAAGACACACAAAGAATTAAAAATTGGGGCCTGGAGCAGAATCTATTATGGTTTGGCTGAAGTTAAAAAAGCAGGGGTAGCATTCATGATTTCAGACAAAGCAAAAGCAAAAATAAACCTATGTAAGAGACATAATCAGGAAAACTAAATTTTGCTAAAAGATACCAGAGATAAGAAAGTGATGTTAATATTAAAAATATGTGCACTAAATGGAATAGCATCCACATGCTTAAAGGAAAAGTTAAGTGAGTTGCAGGAGGAGATAGACAGTCAAACTAAACTAGCAGGGGACCTCAAATTACCCTTCTCAGAAATAGATAAATGTAACCATAAAATAAATAAGAAAGATGACTAGAATTTTAGATATGATGGACTTCTGGAGTAAACTGAATGGAAATAAAAAGGGGAATACTTTTTCCTCAGTTGTAAATGACACCTTCACAAAAATTAACCATATATTAGCACATTAAAAACATCACAAATGCAGAAAAGGGAAAATATCAAATGTACCCTTTTCAGACCATAAGGCAATAAAAATTACATTCAATAAAGAACATTGGAAGCATAAATTAAAAAGTAATTAGAAACTAAATAATCCTGAGGAATGAGTGGGTCAAAGAACCAACCATAGAAACAATCAATAATTTGTTTTAATAATTAATTAATTTATTTTTAGTTTTCAACATTCACTTCCACAAGATTTCAAGCTTTAAATTTCCCCCCTTCCTATCCTCCCCCATCCCCCAGATGGCATGCAATCTGATACAGGTTCTACCTATACATTCATATTAAGCATATTTTCCCATTAGTCATGATATAAAAAAGAACTAGAACTAATGGGAGGAACCAGAAGAATGAAGCAACAAAACAGCAAAAGAAAAGGAGAGCAAATAGTATGCTTCTATATGCATTCGGACTCCATAGTTCTATCTCTGGATGTGGATATCACCTTCCATTGAGAGTCTTTTGAAGTTGTCCCAGATCCTTGCATTGCTGAGAAGAGCCAAGTCCCATCAAAGTCAGTCATCACACAATGTGGCTATTACTGTGCACAATGTTCTCCTAGTTCTGCTCATCCCACTCAGCATCAGTCCATACAAGTCTATCCAGGTTTTTCTGAAGTCTGCCTGCTCATCATTTCTTATAGCACAATACTATTCCATTACATTCATATACCACAACTTGTTCAGCCATTCGTCAATTGATGGGCATCATCTCAATTTCCAATTATTTGCTACCACAAAAAGCGCTGCTATAAATATTTTTGTACATGTGGTTCCTTTTCCCATTTGTATGATTTCTTTGGAATACAGCCCTAGAAGTGCTATTGCTGGGCCAAAGGGTATGCACTTTTTTATAGCCCTTTAGGCATATAAATTGCCCTCTAGAATGGTTGGATAAGTTCACAAGTCCGCCAACAATGCATTAGTGTTCCAATTTTCCCACATTTTCTCTAACATTTATCATTGTCCTATTTTGTCATGTTAGCAAATCTGATAGGTATGATGTGATACCTCAGAGTTGTTTTGATTTGCATTTCTCTAATCAATTGTGATTTAGAGCATTTCTTCATATGACTATATGTAGCTCTAATCTCTTTCCTTGAAAACTGCCTGTTCATATCCTTTGACCATTTATCAATTGGAGAATGATTTGTATTCTTTTAAATTTGATTTAGTTCCCTATATAGTTTAGAAATGAGGCCTTTATCAGAGACACTGGTTGTAAATATTCTGTCCCAGTTTTCTGCTTCCCTCCTAATCTTGGTTGCATTGGCTTTGATTGTGCAAAAACTTTTCAATTTAATGTAATCAAAATTATCCATTTTGTATTTCATAATATTCTCTATCTTTTGGATGGTCATAAATTCTTCCCTTCTCCATAGATCTGAAAGATAAACTATTTCTTGCTGTCCTAGTTTGCTTATAGTATCAGTCTTTATATCTAAATCCTGTTCCCATTTTGACTTTATCTTGGTATAGGGTGAAAGATGTTGGTCTATGTCCAGTTTCTGCCATACTATTTTCCAGTTTTCCCAGCAGTTTTTGTTAAATAGTGATTTCTTATCCCAGAAGCTATAGTCTTTGGATTCATCAAATAGTAGATTAGTATAGTTATTAACTGTTGTGTCTTGAATACTTAACCTATTCCACTGATCCACCATTCTATTTCTTATCCAGTACCAAGTAGTTTTGATGATTTCTGCTTTAAACAATCAATAATCTAATCGAAAATAATTTTAATAATGAAACATGCTGAACTTTGTGCAATGCAACCAAAGCAGTACTTATGGGAAATTGTATCTCTTAATGCTTACATCAATAAAGAGAGAAAGAACAGATCAATGAACTGGGCATGCAACTAAAAAGAGAGAAAGAACAAATCAAAAATCCCCAATTAAACATCAAAGTTAAAATCTTGAAAATCAAAGGAAATTTAAAAAATTGAAAGTAAAAAACAATGTAACTAATGAGTAAAACTAGAAACTGGTTTTATGAAAACAAAAAAATAGACAAACCACTGGCTAATTTAATTTAAAGAAAGAAGAAAAATAAATTTCCAGTATCAAAAATGAAAAGGAGAGAAAACTAAAATAATTATTAGTAGCTAATTTGCCTAATTACATGCCAATAAATTTATCAAAGTGAAATGATGAGTTTTACAAA